GTGATTAGTTAGGAGCTGAGAGCTTTAAATACCTCGGGAGCTTGATTGCAGCTGGTGTTGGTGTTGGAGAGGAGATCACATCACAAATAGCGAAAGCTAAAGCAGCTTTTGCAGACCTGCGACGTCTGTGGTGTCGCCATAACATCCGACTATCCCTTAAGGAAAGGGTGTACACCGCCGCAGTTCGTAGCATTTTGCTTTACAGTTGCGAGACCTGGCCTCTCCGTGTTGAGGATGCTAATCGACTTTCTGTATTCGACCACCGATGTCTCCGAAGCATTGCTCGTGTCTGGTGGGAACATCGGGTGAGAAATGACGAGGTCCGTCGTCGTGCGTTGGGTGTAGATAGTCGTTCTCTAACAGAAGTAATCGCCCTACACCGCCTCCGATGGCTTGGTCACGTATTGCGTATACCTACCTTTCGTGCTCTCTTTTCGTGCTGGGGGAAGCGCCGCGGCGGTCAGATCATGACATGGCGTAGAGGTATAAAGAAGCTGGCTTTGGTTGGTGCAACCCGCCTTCCAGGTTTGGGCCTAAGGGATGAGAATTGTCGTTGGTTGGGGACGCTGAGAGATATGACTCAGGACAGAAGTCAGTGGCACGAATGCTGTATGGTCTGTCTGTGTCCCATAAAAAAAGACAAACGAACACAAAAGACTTCTAAAAGTGTACGGTGAAACAAAAAATTGTCACACCATTTATTTATTATTTTCCATTTTACCAGTTCCGTCTTTTTTCCTATGTTCTGTATCCCAACCCGTCCCTTCATTATTGTCATTATTATTGTTTTGGTGTTGGTACCATGCTTTTCCGCAAGCCGGTGTTATATATCCTATTATACATATTGCTATTTCACACTTGTTTGAGTTTAGTCTGCGTGCCGAATAAATCACTCTACACCAATCATTATAAGGAATAAATCCTTTAATGATCTCTTTACTGGCGAGACACTGCCACATCGCTCATGTCAAAGTAGGTGAACTTTATTGCGGTGTTCACAACCATAGCCTTCGGTTATCCAAAGCCTTACCCGCAAGGCAGCTGGTCGTGTGTGTGTGGACCGCAATCCATTAAGAACTGGTGTCTAGTTCAACAGACCATACGCCATCTGAACGGCATCCTTTGCATCTACGAGCCTTCATTATAAGGAGGTTTAAACTAAACGGCCCATAAGGCTTTGATTGTGTATAACTGACCAGGAATCAGTGTCAGCTGCATCGGGGATACGAATTCCAGATCCCATTGATGTAAGTCCGACTCTGTTTATGGGGTTCATCCTTAACCCCTAATAGGACTAGAGACGCAATCGTGTCTCGAAGCACTAATGAAAACAAAAGCGGTGTCACAAGTTTCTTCCATCCATTCAAAATTGAAAGTAATTCTTTCGAAAACAACTATTTCATTGCGTAGCGCATTTTGATATGTATATAGCTTTTCAGTTCACGCTTTATTCGCCTTATACACGACGAATTCTCTCTATGAAATACACATTAGGCGACTTTTAGTATATTACGTGACTCCCGTCCTGTTGGTTGCAAAACATTTTGAAAATCCTTTTCTTGATTGAACCTTGATTTTCATTTTTATGTTCGTCTTTCACTCTAGGACGCTCTAGCGGCGGAAAAGTGGTTAGAAGTCGACCGCAAGCAACGTGCACAACTACCAGCTTCCGCCTACTCGTCCCAAGCACCCATGTGGGAACGTGATCCTGTCACGGAGATGCGTTCGGGTCCGCCGTCGGTAGTTCCTACCGTTGTTTCTGTGCCGCCACAATCTGTAGATGACTTGCTGTTCTCAGCCACGACCGCAGCACGCCAAACTCCTCCTCAGGCGGACACTACTCCCGTTCAGATCAGCAATCTCACTGAGGACAGCACGGTTGATCAAAATTTGAAACCGATTACGCAAATGATTCCACAAGTTCAAATAACTACCAAAAAGTCAGACGAACTGGATGCCCCTAAACCCCCAACCCCGATCGCTCTGTCCGTTTTGACTATGGCCACAGAAAATCTGTTGTTGAAATCTAGTGAAGCCAAAGAAAAATCCAAGGAGGACGAAGATGAATCTGAAGACGAAGATGAGGAAGAAGATATAGGTGAAGACGAGACAATGGACGCCAACAAGAATAATGATGAGGAAGACCTGGAGGATGTGGACGATGACGGCGATGATGATGGAGAAGATGAGGATGATGGTATTGATGAAGATAAAGAACTGAAAATAAAGGCTAAGCTAGGAAAGCAACTGGAACAGGAATTGGAATCATTGAAGCTGAATGCATCTCCTGTTCCTATTTCTATCTCAGGCTCTACGACTCAGATGGCCAAGAAGCCCAGTCCGGGCTGGGACGATGATGATGATGACGATGAGGAGGGTGATGGCTGGGAGTGATCGAAGTTGTCCTGAATCCTAATTGGCTATCTTTGTGATAAATCCCGTTACCAATGCCTTGATCCACACTAAGGATCCGAGAACGGCATTTGGTCGTAATCGACATTGCCGATCTAAGCTTCATCCGTAATCTTCACTTTTTCTGTGCTTGTAAAACACTAACCTTTTCCGGTTAGTCCACTTCCTCTGCTTCCTGTCTTGTCTGTCCTGAGCGTTGCCTCTCAATTCGTCACTTTTGACATAGAAAGGGTACTATTTACCCAATTTGTAATTTGCGGGCGGTTCTTCACATTGGTTTTCTTTTACGATCAGACAAAAGTCTTTCTAACTCAGATAGACATGGACGGGAGCTGATTTCGAGAGCCAGCAATGTGGTCAACTGTTTCCTACTGAGTGCGCGAAGAAACATGACAATAACAAGCCGTGTGCTGAACGAACTGGGGTTGTTGTTTGCAAGAGACTATCCATGCTGCTGGTAGTTTGAGATACGCGGTGATTCCCTCCTGTCTCTTGTTTCGTTGAACAAAGTTCCGTGAAGCGATCAATTCGCTTTTCATCTGTCGAAGCACTACATATGGTGACATCCTCCATTTACCATCTATCATTGATTTCCTGTTATGCTCCCTGAGTGGAGTGAGAGAAAGTTCCTCGGATT